TAATATGGTATTTTGCTCCACACAGTCTAAAAGATCTGCCTTGGCACCAACACACATATTCATTTTGGAACAAAAACGTGGGATGAAATTCGATTTCATTTCTGAAGTATTCGAAAGTAATTTTCAATATTTTGGAGATGGAATCCACTTTTTAAATCCAATGAGTAAAAGCATTTTAATTCCTCAATTGGGAAAAGCTTTTATATATGTTGGGTATGGGGTATATGTCGGTAACGGTGACGTTATTTAATTTCTTGTAATCTATTACTAATAAATATTTGTTTTTGCCGGAGACGTCTAATTTTTTAGGGACAACCCACACAGGTGAGTTATGTAAGGTTTGGATTTAACGACAACTATAGTTAGGATAGGAATAATATATTTTGTAAACGCCAAAAGATTTCAGTCCAGGTATGATGTTATATATAAATGATCAGCATGTCCGTTCATAGATATAAATTATTGCCGGTTAAATTAAAACGGCTAAAAAGATTTATATTTTTGGTCAAAATACACTTTACTTACAATTTTTATTATCATTTATTTATAACTTAAAAATTACTAATGCTAGCACTATTGATGTGCCTCGTTATTCCGCATGTCCGGATGTTGATTGGTTAATTGCTTATCCAGCATTATTCTGCTTATCGCAGTTAACTTTAATGTTGCTAACTGATATACGCGAACTGAAAACTGAACAATAGGAAAAGGTGTATGAAAACATTTCAATTTAACGAGATATATTCTCGAAAAGTGTTTGTATTTGTGAAGGGTATTAAGCCTGCGTTCAACCGACGTTAACTTTAGTTTTCTTTGTTTTTAGTTGATTAATCTTTCGTTCATAGTTCTGAATTCTATTAGTATAGGAAGAAAGAAACAAAGAGATGAAACGTTAATATCTGTTTAGTCGAGTTGGTTATATTCCGATTGTTTTTCGAGTAAAATTTCCTTAGACATTTTTACATTTAAGCACGCTATAAAAATTTGTCACAAATAATCTTCCTGGGAATAATATCATTGAATGTTCGAACGTGTTCGCACAAACACAGTCAAAATACATAGAAATGTTTCCATCTTTCGCGAACAAAAGGTCGAACAAGAAATTTGGGAACGAAAACTCCAATTCGCTCAAAACGAGCACAATCCTCGAACAAATTTGCATATTTATTCAAATTATAATTATGTTAACTAAAGATTTGAGGACAATTAAAACAAGATTTTGAAGTAGATGAAGCTATAAGCTTCAATTAGAAGTACATACTTATATTTCGCTGAATCTGTTGAGCCAGGAACCAACCGCTACTTTTGTAAAAGTTCATGTATGAACATTAATTTTTAAATATTATCTTTTAGCTCAGTCGTCACTTGTCTGTGAGCTTTGCAGTCAGAAAAACTTATTTCAAGTAAATTTTGTATTTTCAAGTGACTGTTGTGAAAGTAATGATAATTAATTACTGCTGAAAATTTGGAATCTCCATCATTATACAATTTAATTTGATGTAAGTGTTGATAAAATGTTTCTTCTTCTTCTTGATTGGCGTAGACACCGCTTACGCGATTATAGCCGAGTTAACAACAGCGCGTCAGTCGTTTCTTCTTTTCGCTACGTGGCGCCAATTAGATATTCCAAGTGAAGCCAGG